GGATTTTCTATTTTGGAAACAGCCATGGATTTCATGTTTACATAACAACTGAGTGTGTATTAAACTCAAGTTTGTCTTTCAGGAAATCTGCCATATGTCAACACGTTTCTGCACAGTCTTTGTTTGTCCTGTTCACACTTTGTTGGTTTCTTATGGCAGTTAACATTACAATACAAAGTTTTCGTCCAATAGTATGCAGAGCATTGTTGAGTATAACAATAGCCATACAGTGCAGGGGGCCATTATATATAGTGCTGTTCCCATGTTGATTTTCATTCTTGCCTCACACAGAACCAAGAAGCTACAGGAGACATTGACAGCTGTGCAACAACTTGAACAGAATATGAGTAACTTACGCCAGTGGCTTGGCCACATTGAGAAAGAGATCTCAACACCAGTAATCTATGAATCATGTGATTCTGGTGAAATACAGCACAAACTGCAACAACAACAGGTAATCTTTGTTTGTGTATTTTGTGTGTTGCGTGCCTTACAACCTTATATACTGCATACAGTCATCTTTCATGGCATATACTAGTAGTTGTCCACCAACCATCTAGTTAGATTCTTATTTTTCTAAGTTTTTTTGTATTCCCATTCCATGATGCCTACTAAATATGCTGGGTACACATTAATTATATTGACAGTGGTACAATTAACTTCATGAACAAACTTGATGAATAAATGAGAATGGTTTCATTAATTAGTACATGCAAGGTCAAAGTTGTGTGCTGTATAAAAATACTAGTATATTGTTCATATGTCTATTGTACAAGTATGGAACCTTTAATTTCACGTTGGAATGTGCACAGAGATTTGCATGAATGGAGCACTTCACAAGTGATTCAATTCAGTCCATTTCTACATGTGACTGTGTGGTTCCTCAACATGGCTTCCCTTCTTTACCCACATTTAGACATGTCTGTGTAATCCGATATTAGTATAATATCTCTGTGCCATGGCATTATCCACTAGGCATTAGAGGATATCATATAAACTGTGTTCAAGTGTACATCAATCCCACAATGACAAATTACCTTATGTAACTTATAAAACTTCTGTTTCATGTCAATTGGTGTCACATCCATTATCTTGAATTGTGCTAAATGCAATGAGACCCTAAGCTAATCGTGGAGACCTCTATGATTTTGGATTTAGCTACTTTATGTTTTTCACCAATTCATTCAAGATATGCTTGCTAATTCAGCAAAAAGTCTATTGTTGGCATGTGAGAATGAGATTCATTCACACCTCACACAGTGAAAATTATGTTGGGATATGAACAATGATTATTATCACACTTGAACTACTCACTTAGTTACATACTAGTAATTCATATGCAATGGAGGATATTAAGAGAAGGCTGACACCTCCCCTTATCGTCCAATACCATTTACCTGTAATCTCACTTTGATTTCTCACATTTTTCACAGGAGTTGCAGAAAGACGTTGAAAGACACAGCACAGGTGTGGCTTCTGTATTAAACCTTTGTGAAGTACTACTTCATGATTGTGATGCCTGTTCCACAGAAAGTGATTGTGAAGCTATCCAAAATGCAACTAGGACTCTTGATCACAGGTGGCGAAACATATGTGCCCTATCCATGGAAAGGAGACTTAGGTAAATTTATTAGTTTAGTATTTTTATGTATAAACTGCAAGACCAGGGTTCTACCGAGGGCATTACAGAGAATTTACCCCTTTTACGCTGGATAATTGTATTCACAACAATGAATACAATAAATCACATTTTCATGTTATGTCATGGTTACTACTAAAAACAGTTATATGTACAGCCATGATACTTAGGAAAAATATTGTTACTATGGTTCTTTGTAAATAATTTTCAAAACTAATGTGAATGATTTTTTTGTATCATTTTTAGTATTGAAGAAACTTGGAGGCTTTGGCAGAAGTTTTTAGATGATTACACTAAGTTTGAGGATTGGTTGGTATCAGCCGAGAGAATGGCCTCTATTCCTAACTCTTCAGATGCATCATTTGTAGTTATAAAAGAAGAACTCAAAAGATTTGAAGTAAGTGTTGGCGGTTGGAGATTTCCCAACTTATTCGTTGTGTTTGATGTCATAGATGTATCTTTCCATATGTGTGTTCTCTAAGACTTATTTTGAAAGTTTAACCGAGCAACAAAGTCAACTCAAAGCACCATCCACAAAATCATTTTCCAACAGAAATTTTAAAAATTCCCAACTTTTTTGATCAAAAACTAGTAGCAATTTTACAATTATTCTGTTCGGCCCAAAATTAAGATTGAATTCAGTGAAAAATGTAAACAAATTGATTCCCATTTTGAGAGAGAAAAATATTTTGCGCTCAAGGGTTAAGAAATGACAGTGATAAATTGTCATTTTTTTGGGGGACCAGCCATTAAAAATTAGAACAGTCTAAAAGTTGAATATTTAATTCCTAATAACTAAACTAATAATGTGAATCTGGTTGTCTTCTAGTCATTCCAACGTAAAGTACATGAAAACCTAGCTCAGCTAGAGATAATAAACAAGCAATACCGAAGACTTGCCAGGGAAGGCAGGACTGATAGCGGTGACAAACTGAAATCTATGGTTCATGATGTGAATAATAGGTGGGATAACCTATCAAAGAGATGCGGAGGTGTCATCAAAAGACTTAAGTTTATGATGAATCAAAGAGACGAGTTTGAAAGCGCAAGAGAAGGATTGTTGGTCTGGTTGACTGAACTTGACCTTCAACTGACCAACGTTGAACATTTCTCAGAGTCAGATACATCAGTCAAAGTCAGACAAATGAAGGTGAGTTTTGTGAAAATTTCAATGAACCTGAAAATTTGAAATAATAAAGTGTCATTCATACCCTGTCCCCACCCTTCTAGGAGACGACATGTTCTATGTTTTTGGACAGTTGCTCACATTGAAAAAAAATACAGGCACTTGGTGTTGTCACCTAAGTACAATGCGTACAATCTTTATCATATTTTGTAGGATGACTGAGGCTTTATTTCACATTTTTTCTCTACTCGAAAGCTGCCAAGTTTAAATAAAACCAGAAAATCATTAAATTTTGCATGTGCTTTGATCCTTGTTGTTTATGGATGAAAGATCCCTTCCTGTAGTGTAATTTATTATTGAGAGTAATTGAACCTAATTACACCACATTACTGCATTGTTACATTGTGTGTACTTTCTCAAATACATTGTATTACAGGTGACTGTTGTAGTATTTCTCTATTCCAATGATTGAGGGCAGTAGCACACCAGACATATTGGAGCCATTAACATGATCAAGCTGCAAAATTTGTTGTAAATTACAGTAAATTGGATCGTTGAAACTACTCTATCCATTTATTTTCACTGAGTTGAATGAATCCCCAACCAGTACTAAATGCATTAATTTGGTTGCTTTACTTTTATAGGCATTTCAACATGAAATTGACTTGAACAGAACAAGGCTTGACAACGTCAACATGCTGGCTCATTCTCTGATGCAAAAGTGTGATCCTGCTGATGCAGCATTTATACAAGAAGAACTTGATGAACTTCACAGATACTGTGATGAGGTGTACAACAGAGTGGGAAGATACCAAAAAAGATTACAAAGACTGTCATTATCACCGGTAAGATATATGGGTTCTCACTGCAGACATTGTGTTTATCACTGTCTAACCACCATCCACACACGTGCCTTCAAGTAATTAACTTTTAACATATTAATCATTGTAAGACCACTGTAGACTACCATTCTTTGGATAAATCTTTTCATTCTATGTATTTCCTAACACTATTGCTACAGATCTGTTCCATGATGAGAGCAAGAGTAGGGATCAGGAACTATATTGACCTGATAGTGAGTCAGGATGTGAAGATAGTACGTATAAAATGAAGAACTCAGTATAGGGAAGAGGCATTTATGTGCAAGATCAGGGAAAATCTAGTATTGTCAAGGGTGTCAGAGTAGGGAGTCACAGTAGAAAGTCATCTGGATTAGCTTTCTAGCTATAATTAGTCATCTCCAAATGAATACTTATAAAGGTTGCTTCTCTTCCACTTGCCCCTGCTGCATGTAGGAAGTACAACGTCAGCTAATAGCCCAAAGCTATCTGACATGTCCTATTAGTCCGGTGAGTACTAGTGTGTAGCCTCATAGCTCTGTCTTCTGCATGCTTTTTCTCTGTACTACAGTATTGTTGATCTGTTCTATTTTATTCTATCATCTTGTGGTTGTCACATTTCCTTTAGTTCATCACTATACATTTATTTATATAATTACAATTTTATTTCTACCCTAATAAAATTTAATTCAAGGTTTTCAATATAACCATTTTTGAATTTTGTTTGTGTTTTGATAAATTATATCTTTTAAATAAACTATTTAAACATTCTCTCATCAGAGCGACAGTCTGATGTCATCATTTGATTATACGTCCAGAGAAAGTAGTCCGGCCAGGTCCAGCAAATCAAGCAGTCCCACCAGATCTAGCTTATACAGCAGATCCAGTCTTAGTCCAGGTCGTAGGACACCATCTGGCAGAAGAACGCCCTCCACATGTGACAGCGCCAGATCAGGTTCACCATTCAGGACAATGTCAGGAAGAGACACTCCAGCCAGTTTGGATTCCTTGGACTGGGATACCTATCTGATGGACACTGCGTCTATAACATCTGATCCAGAAACACGCTGGCAAGCTATGACTGAATTCAGATCTTCTGCAGTGTCTTCAGAGGGAGTCCGAAGAGCCGTGCAAGAGTGCGAGGAAAAAATTGATCAGATGGAGGCTGCTCTAGAAAGGAGAATGCCGACCGGTCCCGATGCTGAATATGAAAGAGAAGAATATGTGAGTTGGTGCTCTTTTACTGCATACTAATCAGTGTTATATCCACTATAATTATGACGTTTAAATAATATGACAATTATAATTTTTGCAGGAGTCACTATTGGCTGACACCAAGGCTTGCATTGCCATTGTCAAAAGTCTTGCCCAGAGATTAAGAGATGATCCATCATTAACACACCAAATAACAAGTAAGTTCATACAATTACAATATTCAGACTTTTCAATCTATTTTCTGAGAAATCTAATTTCCTCATTCAACAGCAACCTAAATGGTATACTTATCACCTTGTGTAATTGTATTTTGCATGCTTGAAATAAAAACATTTCGTATTAGAAATTTTGCATATTCTTATTTGGTTTCTATTTGTCATATTACGATGCAAGAAAGCATTATTAGGTATGACATAAGATGTTCAATAATAATGTGTATTTTCTAGCTATTGTAAACCGATGGGAAGTGATGCAACCTGATGTGGTTGAGAAGTATCGTAGAATGCGTAAAACACACCAAGAATGGCAGCAATTCAGAAGTGATCTCTCTAATATATGCAGCTGGTTAGATGAAGCTGAGAACATACTTAGTTCTCAGATTGGACCTGGCGGTGATATTTACGACTTGGAATCTACTATCAGGCAACACAGGGTGAGTCATTTAAATATTTATTAGTTGTGCTCCTTAAATACACACTGCTCATATAAATTTACCCCCCTACCCCCAAAAAAACTTATCTCCCCACCACCAACCCAATAAATCATTCACAGCTATGTTCTCGGCCTTTCCTGGCAGATCATGAGATATTTACTAATCTTTCATAAGAACTGAAAAGAAACTATTTATTTATTATATTTTTGTTTTTTTTCTCAAGGAATTTTTAATGGGACTAGATGCCCGAAAAGCGATAGTGATGTCTATAAACTTATGCAGTAAGAAATTCACCTCTTCAGAAATCATGCATGGTCCTGAAATAAAAGAAAAGTTGAGCGTGATGAATCACCGATGGGAGGCTGTGTGTTCGCGAGCGACAGATTGGCAAAAAGAATTGCAGTTTCAACTTATGAGGTGTGATGAGTTCCATCAGACTACAAATGACTTACTTGGCTGGCTGCAACGAACTGAAAATGAAATGAATGATATGGAGCCTGTTGAGCTGGATATGGATCAAGATACACTGGTAGAGTGTTATCGAACATACATGGTATGTGTTACTCTATCTGACTGGGTAGCTTGATGGATTATTTTTATATTATCATACATTATTATAAATCTGATACGATAGAAAAACAAAAGAATTCATCACAGAACAGATATAGTGCATGACGAAAATAAAACCCTGTCACTTAGTGCAAACCATCGCACAGTATGAAATGTTTCTCATTAACATTTTCGACACTTATAAGGTCATCATGAGAATGCCGCAAAATATGCGCTTTTCGGTATTATGTGAATGTATGTTCTCTACGACACATAGTTGTATATTTTGATGCAAGAAAAAGTATGAAATATTTTCTTAGATCCACTGCAACATGGTTAATGTGGTGAAAAGCTTGATTTTCTCATGAGATATTAAGTATAAGATTATCACTCACAATACAATAAGACAGTGAAAATAACAAAGCTTGTGTTGTTATTCACAGAGAATCCGTCGAGAGCTTGAAGACTCACATCCTAGAGTGATGTCACTGAAGGAGACAGCTGATCAACTACTAGTCAATGCAGACACCAGAGAGTGGGAATTGACCAAAGATAAACTAAGTATAATTGTCAATAAAGTCAACTCCTTATTGAAGAGATGTCGGGACAACTTAGAATTTCTTAGCAATGTCATAGATACAGGAGAATTTGATACGGTGAGTAAAGATACTTTGAAAAGTAGAATTATAAAATTTGTGTTTTATGTCCTGGAAACATGCAGGAGATGAGAACTCAGCTGCTAGAAACCACCAAATTGTCTGAATTCCTCATCTAATCTGATGTTATTTTGTTACAGGATGATGAGATTAGTGGTGCTATGGGAATGCCGATGGATACAATAGACGGTATGGGAGGAAGTTCACTACTACCAATGAGATCCAGTACTCCATTGCTTGGGTCAGCATTACCCAGGCATTATTCAGACATATCCACTACTACAAGGTTTGGGGAACCAGAACCAGATAGGTAATTGTTCTTAATTTGTGCTTCAATTTTAAAATTTGGGATGGGGCAAAGCCGCATGAACAAGTACTAGAATGGTGTGTCAGTAATTGAATTTAAGTAATCTGTAAAGTGTGACAGTATCAATAGGTTATTATAAGATAGTGCTACATCGTTTTTGCAAAGCATATTGGCAATACAGCAGTTATTGCAACACAGATTTATATCAGTACAAGTAGACTTGGTGTACTACAGTTTAGATTCTTGTGAATGTCACAAAACTAAAGATGATATGACCAAGAGTAGTATCAAGTGAAATGGGTTGTGAACACATGGTTACTGGTACATTATCATTTTACGATACTCAGAGCTATTTCTGTCATCTTACAGAGCTGTACAGCAGCGGGGTGAAGGCGGCAACGTTCATCGTAGGTCAGCTTTCTTGGTGCGTGTTTTCAGAGCGGCGCTTCCACTGCAATTAATGATGCTGCTGCTACTTGGTGTTGCTTGTTTGGTCCCAATGACTGAAGATGATTACAGTTGCGGACTGGCAAACAACTTTGCCAATTCCTTCCAGACTATGTTACATTATACGAATGGACCACCGCCAATTTAAATAGTCACAGACTTAAATACAATACAGAGATTTCAAGACGAAGATTTGTATTACAAAATACAAACTGATACCACCCACCTCTTTTGTTGATACCAATCCTGTTTTAAGCAGTGGAACTAAGAAATTAGATTACAGCTTGCATATTCAGAAAAGAAAAACAAAAACTTGGCCTGCAATTCTGACAGCAATGTTGTAACCTAATTATTGTAATGATAAATTAAATAAATGTACAAATTGGCGCTATGTAATATACCTCAGCTGTAAAATAATATTATAGAAAATATATAATATGTTTTATACCTAAAAATGACAGTATGTTTTAGTTTGAAAAATAGTTAATATCAGTAATCAATGAATAGATGTCACTAATAATGAGTCAAATCACGGATGAATAATGCAACCAATCAAAGAATTACTTTTTAAAAGCAACTAAATTTTGTTTTAAATGGCGTGTATCTTTTTTTCGGATGCATTTTAGATTTTGTGTCTCGTTCATATCATTTTACTATACTCACTGTAGAGATATCCTATGTTCATTGTTTAGTTATCATATATAATTCCTTGTCTGGTCAAACCAGAGGGCGTGTTATTTTCTATAAAATGAATTTTTATAATTATGAATTATCCAGGTACAATTAATTTATGAGATGTTTTTTTTTTATAAAGTATTAAATGAGTGTATCTGCAGTGTGAAAGACAGAAATTGAAGTGATCATGATTCTGATTTATATACAATATATTGATGATTTGTGTATATGGTTATTTAATGCATGTGTAAATTTTGATGTTAATTTCTAGATATCTATAACACAGGATGGGAAATCATCTTTTCAAAAACAAATCTGATACAGTTATCAATGGTAAGGTGTTTTAAGTTCTGTTTTTAATACAACCCCCCCCCCCTCCCATGTACAGTAATAAATATTGTAAGTATGTAAATACAGACACCTATCTGTATATACAAAATGTAGAAACTAGATGCAAAATTGCACAAGCTTGTTTCTTTTTGTATTTTCTTATATATTTTTAGAGTAGCAGCACAAAGTACATTTGATTTGCAACAGCTTTTTTTTTAATCATTGTCTATTTTTATCACAGTTGTATTTATATTATTCACTGACATATTTTAACATGAATTGTGTTGTTGCAGATTAAGGCTGGCTTCCTCAACATGCACTGAGTTTTATTTTGTACATACTGTTTCTGTTGTACGTTTTAATCACTGACAATAAAATTATCTATTTGTTGAATGATACTAAGTTCATCTGTGTTCTGTGTTTATTTTTGTTACCCCCTCATAGGGATTATTATTCCGCCAATTTATTCACACTTTTGCCACCCTTGCATTTTTCACAATTTTTCAATAGGGATATTTGTTTAGTGCTGGGAAAGGGTATTGTCCTTTCGCTCAATATTATCTGCTTTCTTTTCATTGTCATAATTTTGAATTGAAATAAAATATGCTTCACTAAATAATGCATACTCCGGTGTCAGGGTTATAGCCACAAAAAAAAACTTTACCGAAATGAAAGATAGCAGTTCTGAATCTGTAACCTCAGACTTGCAATCGATTTTCTTGTTTATTATTCATGGTTATTTCGTAATTTACTTGTAATTTTCAATCATAATTGGACAGGTTTGTAGAAATTGTTACTCTCAAATGAAATGTTGTACCTGTCTAATAGCCTGTCTGGTGCTGGCCCTTACTGTTTTGCCCTGTTTTTTTTTTTTAAATTTCAAATTGGAGGTTTTTATGAATGCCATTTGCTTAAATACTGTAAAAGTATTATTTACCAAGAAATGGCATGTTGGTCTTGTTTTGTACTTGCATCTGCTTTTACTAGTGCATCATAGTATTCTACCAATTTTAATCCACTTTATATCAGCATAAATCGACACAACAAACAGTTGCCAATTAGATTTCTTTTCAAGCATTCAGTAGATTTGTATACTACTGGAAAGATGTTATCCGTGATACTCTGCCCTCTACAGCCACCATTCCAATTCCTTTTGTTTTTATCATTTTTCCCCCTTCCCTACACTTTTCTTAGGTTCTTCAATATTGCATGTTTTCAGACAGTTTTGCCCTAAACAAAGCCTAAAGTTAATAACTTGCATCTTAATTAACAATTACATGTTTGAATATTTTTTATATATTTGGCACTTATTTAGTAGAATGCCCATGACTGTCCTCAGTGGAGCTTCTTGTGTGGAAACCATTGAAAAAGAATCTGCCTCAGAAAAAATCTACTTGACCGCCATTAGGTAGATTTTTAAAAATACAAGAATTTGGCTCAGAATTAGAATATGTATAAGAAAAATAAATAAAAACACGATAACACTCCACTCAGCATTGTGGTTTGTACATTTATTGTTAGTGAACAACACGAACAAATGAAAGCATGTAACAAGCATTGATGAGCAATTCTGTTAGTTACAGATGAACACCTAATTTATGAATATAACATGTCAATGGTACTATTCTGTCATGTTTACATTGCCTGCAAACAAAAGCCTCTAGATAGTCGTTTCATTTATATATATTAAATACAACCCTGGTCCAAAGCCAAAAACATGATAAAATTGGGCGTAATTGCATTATATATTTTTTTCCTTTTTTGGGCATTAGGGAATCACAAATACAAATATGCTTATATGAGCCAACAATAGCATGCATCTATCTGTGTTGTTATGGTAATATTTTAAAGTAAGTTATTTTATTGTACACCCTAAGCAGAGAAACATGTACATATTGTAAAATGATTTAACCTTTTCATCACCAGACTTTCTTGCCCAAAATTGTCTGCACTTTTTTTTTATATTTAGTATTTCTGGAAATGAACCGTAATTTTTGAGCCAACAGGTTATTTTTGTTCCAATCTTCCTATGAAAAGTGCAGACTATAAACGGAACTATTTTGTGAATTTGTGATGAAAAGAGGGAACTGGTGGTGAAAGGGTTAAAGAACCATAGTCGTGCTACATTGTGTTCACATGTAAAATACATCATCTGTTTACACACAATTTAGACACGAATGTGGGTCTTTGATTTCAGAGAATCAGGGAAAATTACTATATGAATGAGATCACAGCTCGTGAGTGACTCACAAAATTTTGTTCCCACGAATACCTTCAAAATTATGAAATCAGGAAAATCTGTTTACAGAATTACAAATTTGTGAATTTGCTGCGGTATTACAATTGGCTGGCCAACACTGCACAGTGTTTGGACTCCAAGTAAAAGCACAGCAAACTTAATTCATTGTAGAAATAAAATGATTGTCAAGTCAACAAATATTAATGGGCTGTCTCTTTTAATCCACGTTAGACAGAGCCTGCGATACTGAGTGGTACCAAACACTATATTTGGTTCAGTATTACATAGATTAATTTAAATTTGACTGGAGAGGTGCACCTGCATGTAATTATTAATTGAACTGAGATGCATTGATAAATTATTTCACAGGAAACTGAATTGGATTCTTATTTTGATAAATTTAGTAACAGCCATCTTAATTTTATGGTGTGATTAACTAATATAAATATGACACAATTATGTTTTTACTAGTAAATATTGAGGCAACCCTTCAGGCAGCCCACCAAGGGTAGAACCACTCCCAATTTAGCCAACCCAGGTAATGTCACCTTCTCAGTCAGCCAACCTAGGATAAGGCCACCCTCAGCCTTGCGCCAAGGCCAACCCTCTACCAGTCAAATTAGGGTAAGGGCAACCTTCAGCCAGCCAATCCAATCCGTGTGGTGTGGTTGAGAAGACAAAAGAGACAACGAAAATTGGTTGAGGGGAAGGTGACTGTTAAAAACTAAAATTGAGGAGAAAAGGAATAAGAAATATTTTCATTACTAAAATAATAAAATAGTTACATCCTGAAAATTTTTTGAATTACACGATAAATCATCCATAATGGCACACAGAGCAGGGTAATAACGTTAACATTGTAAGTGATATATAATACTGTAAAACCATTAATTCTACACTTCTATTTACCACTATCTTAATTTAATACTAGGTTTATTTCATGGATTTAACTGTTAAACCATCGGTTCTATTGTGAATACATATTCAAATAGATTTAATTTAGCTGATTTACTTTATTTTCAGTGAATAATTAATGCATTTACAGTAAACTTGTGAGAATATGATTGTCTAATACAAGTAGTTTTGTAAAATTCTCAACTTTGCATTACTAGTTGGATTTGATTTCATCAAGATTTATTTGTTGTTATGGCAACCCATTGTCATTTGCTATACTTATACATAAAAATTATACACAAGTTTTATTTTTTATTAATATTTTTTAACTGCTTTGTGAAATGAACATTAGTAGCAATGACAGACAAATATGGACAGGCAGCACCTGAGAAAAAAAGGTGTTTACACGGAATGCACCAATCTGCATTATTACAGTCAATCCACGCAACACCCAAACATGGAACCACATAACATATTTTATTTTGTAGGTTTATGTATTATGTTTTGATATTCTACCTCAATACTATGTAAAATAATTTTACAATCTGTATATTAATTATTATATTAATTACAATAAAAGGAATGGTTTCAATTGGTAATACTTATACCAACTTTATGTATTAGTCAACATGACTATATGAAACAATGATGCTCATTGGTCAACATGAATTTATGTAACACTGATGTTCATTGGTCCACATTTGGGGATTGCTTGGACAAATACACACACATAAGAAATGAGTATAAATATTATAAAGCCACCAAAAGAAGTATTTTAAAAATAGAGTAAAATTACTCTTCTTAAAATAAATTTCAAACTGATAGGAAGGACCTAGCAAAGTTCATATATTTTTCCAAAGCTTTTTGTGCTGATCGACCATTGACTAAGTAAAAAGTGTTTTATACAATACAGCACTTGTTTTATTATAACTACTGTCCCAAAATGTTCAGTATAAATTATTTCAATGTATAATTAAACACACTAATCCCCAGCTAATAAAGTAAAAAAGAAAGGCAGAAAAATCTTTCATGCAGTTTCTACAACTACTAACCCACGATACACATCCCTAAACCTATCACACGATACCCATCCCTATGCCTACTATCCCATCATACCCATCCCTAATCTGACTATCCCATAATTTCTTACCTTCAGACGTCTACTTACAACAGCTAGGCAAATCTTTACCAGCCCCAAGAAGCACACCACTATTTGTTTACCCCAAAAGAAGACAACAATCCCTTCCCCTGGAATATAAAAATGACTGAAGCATTTACCCCCCCCCCCCTCCCCCCTTCCCAAAATCTCAACAGATTCCCACACCTTCCATGGTACGGTTATTCTGTCAACAATGTATCCCCGTTCCCCAAACTCATTCTGCCTGTACTTTACATTTTACTGCATATCCCACTGACAAAAATATATAATCTCCATAAACATGTGACAACGTATTAAAATATCTTGCTTCTGTATAGCACACACTGGTTTATCTGCAGTCTAGTCATACTGCTGCAGATCCATACTTTTTTTATTTAAATGAAAGTTTCACAGATTTTCGCAATTGCCACTTTGATTAGGACCCTGTGCCATGGGCTGCTCTTCACCTACTGGGTCCTGAACTGGTTTCTGTTGTCGGCTTATTAAAGTATTAGCATCCAACATTTCAAGCAATAAATCATATAAAGGAACGTTGCCTGAGTTCTTTACTTCAAATAACTGCGCAATTCCTTTACAACTTAGATGACGGAGATGCGTTAACAACATTAAGAGTTTTGGGAGTCGCCTCGCTTCCGTGGGGTTCGAGAATTCCACAGCTTCAGTTAGTGCATCTGTCAAGTCATCTTGTAGCTTTGCTAACTGGTCTTGACTTTGTAGTTCCATAGCTGTAAGCAATGATTAGTAATAGTCAGTATCATATGTAAGTATGAATGCATGCTCATTGATATAGTGGACATGGTACCGTTTGATTACATATTACTTGTATAACAAAACACTGTTCTAAGTTATCATATAGGTATGATACCATAGGTGAGTACAATGAGCACTTTGATACACACTAATTTTATACAAGTCAATAAATACTGAAAATCGCTTTAATTTTGTCAGAAGTTGAAGTTCACTATTCAGAAAAATTATGAAAAAAATGCAAAAATTATTCTAGGATACTATGAACAACTACAGACATGTTACTGGAAATCCATTGAAAATTATACCCCGGTAGCAAGAAACTGAGCCAGACAAAAGAAAAACCAATACATAATCCTCTGGCCTACAACGTTATCGAAGTCTGTGCAATTCCCAGGTCATTCGCCTGAATAAAAATGTTAAACAACAGTGTTTTCAATAATTCAAATGGTAAAAAAGGCACAGTAGCGAAATTTTCCATCATGTAATCTCTCAAATACGTCATATGCACTACTGTATTTGCCTGCTATTTATTGAATTGTTTATTTTATTTGTAATGGAATACGATACATTCTAAAATTAAGAATTAATATAGTGACAACCAAATAATCAACAATGGCTGAAAAATACAAGTTGTGAAGTTCGACTAGCTCACCCAAATATAGCGGGAAACTGAACTACCACGAGAATATGCAAATTCATGAAAGAACGAGAAATGCAAATTAATCGTGTCAATAAATCATGTATAATGCTCCACATTAAGAATTCATTTATACCTGAATTGACAAGAACTAGAGCTTTGAGACAAACAAATTCTTCTAGAGTGATACAGAGTGCAAAAAACTTATTAGCCAGGGCTGCGATGTGCTGACATAGATCAGAAAAACCAGAAGCAGCGTACTCCTCCCTGCAAAGAAGAAAATAATCAATGATGAGATTGAAAATCAAAACTATACATACAACATTTGTATGAAACAGCTCTGGAAATACATGTACCTATTGTACAATCTGAGATTCACTGTTACAGTTGTAACATCTCCAAATAGGACGGATTATGTGTGAAAGGAAACAAGTGCAGATCAGAATTTAGATAAATTTAGTTGATGGCATGTTAATGGCTGCCAGTTGGATAAATTTCAAAATCCTTAAAAAATAACTGAAGGAAATATTCAAATCATCATGTTTGGCTTTTTTTACCAAATTTAAACCAAATCTTGAAAAAAGTGAATGTGCAAACAAACAAAATTGCTGCGAGTGACATGCATCAGTAACCCACTAGTTTGAAAGGCCTAAAATGATCGGTCAGAACAAAATCTGTGCAACATGTCCTAACAATGATGTTGGATGGATGCGTAGACTTATGCACATATGACAGGAATCAAAAACATAAGGACTATCATAAGGTCATCACAGTGCCATAAATTTCATCTGAAGTATTTCAGTCTGACACAGTGTTGCCACACTCCTCATCCTCTTGTGCCACCCCCCTATCATTTCAATAATAATAATTCTGCAGCTGCAAAGTCATACATCTTACCTGCCAATAGTCAAGCCTTGCGCAAAGTAAATTCTTTCGCCTTTATACTGCATGGATTTATAACATAGACTGATTAAAAGAATTTCTAGCCAGCTGTTTTCAAGCAGTCGAACCTGGTCATCAAGTTCAAGGGTAGTATAACCTACAAACAAGACAACATAATTCAATGTTAATGACAAAGTTACATTTGTAGTTTTAGTATGATATTTTAGTCAGAGTAAGTCATCCAGTCCGCCATGTTTGTCCTAGTTACATACTAATCCATGTACATGTATATTTGCTCTTCTAAAAATCACCAATTAAAGAAAAATTACATTTATTGTAAACTGTGTTGTTAAAATATGACTTATTTTGATCATAAATGCATCTTTGCTATTCAAATAAGTGCATATGTGCTACTAAGCAAATAGGTTTAGTGAAATTTGGTGTTTACCACTTTGAGTGAAATATTACACATGTGCATAATAAAACCTTATATGGAAATTCTACCTCCTAATAAGGAAGGGGGATAAGTGAAGAAAGAAATTCAATAACCTATGTCATAAGATAATACTCTGATCTTACCTGGGATTTGCTTTGCCCATGTAATCACTTGTAATAGTTGTCTGTCCGCTAGTTGTATGAGTGTCTTCATAAGAAAGTTTTGTTCACTATGATCAACGTTCTCTGTGAAATGTACCTGTTCATTTTCAGCCCCTACCAATGCCAGTAGTATAGGATTACACGTTTTCCTTTTATTCGGGATACCGTTTTCACTGTATGTATTATCCTCACATGGTCTTTTGTACTTGCTTCTCCCGCCAGGTTTCCTATCTTTCCTCACTCCTTAATGTAATTTGTCGGCAAAAAAAATGACGAAGAGAATGAAAATAGGAAATCTTATTATTAGGATTTCAATACATGTTAATGAATTAAATAATTTGAAAACTAACTATAGTAACCACACAGTGACTGCAGTGCCAGGAACAGACCTGCACTATGTATGCGAAGACATAGCAGTAGTAATTACGGCAGTACCAACAACACATCTGCACTATGTGTGCAAAGAGAGCACAGTCTGTGAGAATGTTTTTGTGCTTTTCATTAATAATAACTTTCCACACTGTTTCAAATGTTTGTTAGTTGTAAAGCTACTACAAAACCTAGTAAGCATTAAAGCTTGACAATACATTTCTAAAAACTTACCCCCTCTCATCATGCCCACGGTATAACATTTTCGAAGTCGACACGCTTGACAACTTTTCCTTCTGTGTTTATCGATTGTACATTCGTTGGTGGCAGGACATACATACTCAGCTGAGCCTGAGAAAATTAAACATAGTACAACTATTAAAACCTTGCCCACGACTCATTTATTGGTGGCAGGACATAACCAAAGGGTATTGTTGAACTGCCTAGTTCAAGGGACAAGTTACTACAATTGGGACGTGAAATCTATGAGGGTTAGTTTAAGTACAGTATTCTAAATACGAGTCTATTCAAATTTTCAAGACATCATTAAGTTTGACGTAGTTTGATTGTGACCTATCAAGACAGATCACCGCTCTTTATTTTTTAAATAAACTTTTGTTGCCTATGAATTATTATAATCCCACAACATTATGATGTCCAAGCCACAGGCGAGTATTGTCAGTGGAACTATTGCTAAAATAACACCAAATACAAATATGTCATTGCACATGAGCTTGTCAAAATGATTTTTTTTTTTACCACAATCCGTAGTTATCGGACCATATATAACATTGGAAGTGCTGGACAACATTTAAGCATTACATACAATACAAGCAGCCCGTCGGCTGAGATAGCTCTGCTTTTAGCAATGCATATTTCAATTAAAGAACTGAAGATATCATTAGAAAAAGAACAAATCTAAGAGAGGTCTACCTGAGGTACCTATATGTATAGTATCAAAGCAATCAGACTTGCTGTTTTCAACAAGAAGTCAAAATTATCACTTTTTACCAAAAATGACAAAAATATGCATCAAAATTGAAGATATCATCAAGAAATGAACGAATCTGAGAGGATCAACATTTAGTACCTATATATGTAATATCAAAGCAATCAGACTTGCGTCAAAAATTTTACTATTTACCAAAAATTACAAAAATATTCATCAAAAATTGGAGAATTGAAGATATCACGAAATGAACAAATCTGAGAGAGGTCCACATGTAGTACCTATATATATAATATCAAAACAATCAGACTTGCGGTTTTTAACAAGAAGTCGAAAATTTCACTATTTACCAAAAATTACAAAAATATTTACAAAAAATGGAGAATTGAAGATATCATCATGAAATGAACAAATCTAAGAGAGGTCTACCCAAGGTACATATACACCAAGTATCAAGGCATTCAGACTTGTAGTTTTCAAGAAGAAGTTGAAAAAGTAAAAAGTTAACACAAATGCAGGACGACGGACAATCACGCATATGATAAGCTCCACTCGACAAAGTCGACAGCAGAGCTAAAAAGTTGACACGGACAACAGACGCAGGACAATCAGCCCTATGATAAGCTCCGCTCGACAAAGACGACAGTGGAGCTAAAAAGTTGACACAGACAACGGACGCAGGACAATTGGACAATCACCCATATGATAAGGTCTGCTCGACAAAGTCGACAGCAGAGCTAAAAAGTTGACACGGACAACAGACGCAGGACAATCAGCCCTATGATAAGCTCCGCTCGACAAAGACGACAGTGGAGCTAAAAAGTTGACACGGACAACGACGCAGGACAATTGGACAATCACCCATATGATAAGGTCTGCTCGACAAAGTCGACAGCGGAGCTAAAAAGTTGACACGGACAACGGACGCAGTACAAAATGACATTCACCCATATGATAAGCTCCGCTCGACAGCAGAGCTAAAAAAAGTTTGGCAGTATGTGACGTAACACTGAGGTGATATGCAAGGTATGCATGTGAATAATTTCCCATATTCATTCTCGTATAGATATATCTTATGATCATACATAAATGGTGATCAAATGGTGTTTTAGACCTGTTTATCGATCATCAGATAAGAACATACCACCTCCTAAACTACTTGGTGTTTTATGTCTTAGATGAAATGTGTTATACTGAATTACAGATTAGAAACATATCTGATGGTACAGATATATTTTTTCAAAAATAGTATGGTGCCTTGTGGCAACATTGCACTCAGAAACAAAATATACATGATATACCGTATGTACTTATTTTACAACTATATATTTAGTTTGTTTTATGTTCAATATTACAAGTGTTTGCATCATAGGGTTATAATAATAACACCATATGGTACAAGCAAAGAAAGAAATAATACATAAACCACCCACACACATAATTTGCTCAAAATATAAAATGACTCATGAAGCAAATGTGCTACACAAATTTTAGAAATAAAACTGAACAGGTATTTTAGTTTGATGTTGAGCTACAAGCAATTAAAGTAAAACATTTAAAACTGATCAGATGAGAAAGATTAGGTTGTAAATTTACAAATACGAATGAATATTACATACATTCAATCACACTTCACATTACCATGGTAACTGTTGAGCCAAATATGAAAAACTGAAATGACCTGATCTCATCTAAAGAAAGTGTCACACTAATATAATTTGGATATTCACGTTTTCCTCATCCAGGAGTAAAATGTTATTATTTTATTAAAATAAATCCTGCAGTTGCATAAACTTTTGAGTTACATGTAGGTAAGGGTAATATTTTTATGTATTTTTAAGTGTTATTTTTTTTTAACTATACGCGGAGGTGAACAGTTGGTTATGCATTGATGTCATGACAATACCCAGAATGCCATTCTTAATTAGTCTGGTTTCAGGCCGAGTGTAAAATTACATACTATATTGATGCTAATGCCCACACACTGAATAAATTCACAGTAATTTAACTCTATATCCCCAGGAGGTTGGTTGGGAGCCAAAACGTTGGATAGCATCTGTGTCACTGGATGTTGAGAATGGGGGCTTGAGCACGTAGTTATGAATCCTATTTTTTCATAACCTTTCCAAGATCATGTCATTGTAAATCTTATTTTTTTCATACCCTTTCCAAGATCATGTCATTGTAAATCTTATTTTTTTCATACCCTTTCCAGGATCATGTCATTGTAAATCTTATTTTTTTCATACCCTTTCCTAGGGCAGACACACTTTTTTAAGCATTTTGTGTGAAATGATAACCAAAACATTTCGTACATATTTCCCTCCAATGGCTATTTTGCTTGCATTTAAATGAATTAATAAATAGAATTAAATTTGCATTCCATGGTAGTGAAGTCATTGCAATATCAATCTAATAGAAAACATTGATATTTCATTATATTTTTATACCCTTTTTCAGAAAATGGTTGTTTTGGTAACTATAAACACACACATCACTTATTTATAGCCCAAAAAAAACACTGTTTTTACACATTCCCTGTTCTACACACCTTTGGGCCAAGTGCAACCCCTCTACAACCCTCCTCAGTGTTCTATGTTAACTGAAAATATAGGACACTAGTGGAAAAAAACCTAAATGGTAATTTCACGTTACATTCTTCTAGTACAGTGGATTGAGTATAAAATAACATAGTAAAACTTTTATAACCTTTCCTGAATACAGTATAAAGTACATTCAGACAATTGTATTTTTGGACAGGTTAACAGCCCCAGATTGACCCCATATATATTTTAGTACATGTATGTTCTGACTGGCCTACCTTGAATACTCCTTTTGAAGAATGCTTTGCAACCTTCACATGACCAGACACCATAGTGATATCCTGAAGCTAAGTCATCACAAACTGCACAATTCCGTGTAAATGCTTCCTTTGTTTTGCCAGTCTTTCCATTAGTACTGACATTAACGCTACTACTAGCAATACTAACAGTACTATTAGTAACAGTGCTAGTTGGTTTGGTACTCATATTATGTATGCCTTCAGTGGGTTCCCGCTTTATTTCATTTGCAGGCATGGCTTCTCTGCTGGTATGTACTTCTATTTCCTTGCTCATTACAGCCTGAGAAATAGTTCTAAGTTAGGAAAAACAGAAAGAAAACACAGTCAGTAGATGAATGATTTGTTATTCCCCTGTTTGAATGAAATTTAAAAATATGGACTTATCCTCGGGGGCGGAGCTACGTTACAGATGGTCGAGCCGGTGAAAATTCGAGAAAACAACACAAACTCAACTTTGAAGTAATCCTGAACAACCAAATTTATATATGTTACACACGTAGGGCTAATCTTGTTACACTGTTCAGGGGACTCTCAACAAGCATCCCAAAGTACCGTTTTCTGCGAGTTTTTGGCTTTTGTCCAGTTGTCGGCCCCCGAGGATAGATTCACCTGTGTGTATCCATCTAATTACCTGGACTGATCACATTCAAATTTCATACATATATCATAATGTATAAATTCATTCATTTCACAATCAGTTTCAAGATGGTCGAATGGTGGCCATTTTCGCACAAACAATTGCATCAAAATCATTGACAAGTATTTCAGTTGTTCATACATTAACGATTGTAGAATCTAGATGCACGTTATAATATACATCTTTACATTTAAGTTTATCTGACGTATATGCTAAGCCTTATTATCACAACATTATTCCATTCATTTTTCACTTGCATTGCTTTTTAAAAGTTCCCTTTCTATTTTATGCAGACCTTTATTTCTTGTATACCTTTATCTTTCATTTAATTGCTATAGCAACACACAATGGTTTGTTGACTGTGTCCCGTTAGCTTGTATCTTATAGGTTAATGATATTTAGTTTTTCCTAATACTTATTTTAACATTACCATCGAAAGTACACATTACATTTTCATGGTAGTTAAATTCTCACAAACTTTGCAAATCACATTTCGTCACAATGTAAGTCCCTATATCTCTGATAGAATCTGGAAAATAGCAATGGCTTCCTGCAGTGGCAGCATGATGCAATTGGTTTCGCTAACCTCCAATCATAATTACTATCAAGACACAAATTGGTCCAACTAAGATAAGTCATAAGATATGTAAATATCTTGAGTACAGGGGTCAAAGATTATATTCAACTCATCAAACAAAAATATCACATTTTGCAACTTGTTGATGTATTAAAGCTACCCTCCTGGCATTTTTAAATTGGCATTTGTATTTATTCAGATTTCAACCCAAATGGTTGATGACTATAGTTTTCAAAATATTTCAGTTCATGAAATTCAAACAGTTCTAGCTATCCAAGAAAAAAATTAAATTTCTGTAAATAAAAAGAAATATTTTCTGAATTTAATTTTTAACAGATTTTATATATCAGAATTTTTACTATGTTGTAAATTCACTTGTTTACGAAGAAAACAATACATTGTTGAAACTAGAATATTCACTGAGTTTTAATATAGTACAATCAGCTATCTTTAATTCCTTTTGGATATTGAATACAACCAAGGCCAGTTAGGTATATTGATAGTTTGTTTGTTAATTTATTTTCACCAAGAACAACTAAATACTAGTAGAACATAATACAAGTACATAATAAATAGCTCTATTTGAGCTAGTGAAATATTAAATTTATCACTTACTTATCCTTTCATAGATAGATAGTTATTTCATCATTTACTCAAAATTTAGTATGAAGGGAAAAACTAACAATAAATCATTGGTCAAGAAAAAAAAAATAGACTATATATAAATCAGCAGCATTCATAGACACAATGAAGGTCATAGTAACTTTAGTAATTTACATAAAGTCACATGACAACATTCTTGTACACATCCTGGTGATGACCGCATTACCAGTTGTACTTTTGAAGGGGTCACTGAGTCTAAAACAAAATGCATCCAACCACTATACATTGTATATCTATATTACTTGAATACTGAACAAAACGAAAATTTCATATCACTTTAATAAAAATAATGAAATGATCTCGATAAGAGTATAGATTGCAGATTATTTAAGTTTGATATCATAATATTATCACAATACACACCCATGCAACCAAACAATCACTGAAATAAGTGACCCATGCAACCAAACAATCACCCAATCACCGTAACAAGTAACCCATGCAACGGATTTCACTCTGATTCATTGTTCGGGCATACTCATCAGTAAAGTGTCAATGACACCAAGGCCATGTTGGTCAGCATATCTTATCAACATCAATGAAACCCACCAAGGCTATAGAATTGCTAACACAACTCAAGGTCAAATAGGGTCATCTTAAATCAATATATAACATGTGAAAAACCTTGCTGGTTAATTGATTGCTTTATTTTTTCAGCTTGAATTAATTTTCACTACATAGGAGAGAGAATTGCAGCAGCATATTTTTAACCATGAGTACTATGCGACTGTACATTGACTATAAGATGTATAATTTACATTCATTTATTTCCAGGTACTTTAAATCTAATACACAGACAGAAAGATCATCTAAAATTAGATTATTCTGAATGGTACATCACAATAAACTAAACAAAACAGGATATATATTATTCTATTATAGAACTATTAATAGACTCATAAATACATAAATTTGATTATAAAACATGTTTAGTACATTTGTACATGTTGGTGATATGCTAAATTTGTTCACATAAAAAGACAAGCCTGAAGTCTTCAAATCAGCCAGTGTCCACAAGAATCATGGACCAGTGAACATGACTTTTCAAAGTAGGGAATTCAATGTACAGTTATAATCCCTGAATATTTGTTAGGAATGGGTTTCCAAAATGAACAGTCTCCTTGTTCAATGCCTCACAGTAGGGTGCATGAAGGAAGCTACAAACAATAACATTTCTGGAGGGAGTTGGCCGTATTTATGTGCAGAAAAAAAAAATCATAGTGCCAGTAAAATTAGGCTTTGTTAAGCTTGGGATGAGATATCAATTGAAGCAAACCGCTTGAAACTTGTTCACCAAGTTTATTGTAAACAATGCAGAACCCTTGATTTGAATGGATCCAACAAAACCATGTGTACAATAAACAAGATTAAATGCAGGCAAAATTGTACAACACAACAACAACAAAATTTCACTTTTTTAACAAATAACAACTTTGTACACCTGCATTAAAAAATGTGAAACTATTAAGTTATAAACAATACAAACTATCACAGTAGCACACACCACTGAGGCACCGTGCAGGTGCTTGCATGAGATCACAAACTGATATAAACTGGACATATAACAAACACGCAATGATAAATGTACTTGTACGATTAATGCATTCAACAGTTTGGCAAAGACATTATCTGCAGGAACTATTCAAGGCCAGATCATCCATGCAAAAACAACTAATTGTCATGAAGTCACTCAAAAAGACAAATGATCAGTCGACAAATTTGAAAGGTGGAATTTCCCAATTTGGAGATACGTGGAGCCACTATGACAAAAGAAAAAATTACATATACCGGTATTATTTACACTACCATTATAACTGTGTACCTACATGTACACAATTAGACCACCTAATTTTGTACATTAAAAATTTGGTTTACCAATTCAACAACAAAGTATCTATAAATAATTCTCCAGACATCATCATAGGAAGCTATAAAATCTGAAATTCCACTATGAGTTCACAGCTAAGTATTTGAGGATACCTCAAGGTCAAGCTGACACTGAAATACAAATGAGGATATGAAAATAGGCTAACAACAAAAACGGATGCGACTATTCATGCAAAATAACACTGTATAAACGTATAGCAGGGCATATACAGTGATCAATTATTAAAAGACTTGTACTACGACAATATGCTTAGACTGGCTGATGACCTAAGCTATAGCAATGTCATAATTCTGATTATTGAACTTGATGTTGATAGATGCTCAGGGTTCTGCCACAGCAGGTTAATATTATGCACATGGAATATGTAAGCAGATATAATATTTCTCTTATTACCTGTTTCAGTAAAACCAGCCACAATAACACACACACATCCTAGCTGAATTTAAGGTCGCACTATTATACCACACACACACACACACACATACATTCTGCATATATTATGTAAATAAATTATGCAAATCACTGTAATCAGTCACATGACCTGAATGCATCTCATAGCGAGGTTACTGCATTAGGTTAACCAACTCTGTGACCTCACTGAAAGTAGTGCCAGTTTCAAAACACATCAATTACCAATGTTGCTCTGGTTCATTCACAACATTCAACAATAAACTAAAAATCAATTGAACACAAATAAACAAAATTTTCAATTTGTTAATTCCAAAAGCAGAATAAAAAAAAATCAACTACTGTACTTTTTAACACATGAATCCATATAACAGGGACAACACACTTTTTGTACAAAAGAATACTGCATACATAGCATCTCTATCCCACAAAGAAATTAAATATATTACTGTACACTCTCAGTGTCCTACTGAAAAATTCTTTGTGTTTTAAGTAGCTAAAAGCTTCTTTAAGTTTATTAATGGTAAATAAAGAAAGATACCCGGTAATACAAATTCATGTCTAAACATGTGATGACACGATGTAATTGAATTAAGTAGCCATTTATTAGACAAAATGGAATATATTTCATTAAAGTTGAGAACAAAATATATACATGCATTGGTAAGTTAAGAAAATGTTTTTAAAATGAGATCAAGGCAACAGTTGCTATGGTAAAGTCAGTTACTGCAATGTTTGTCGTGATTTACATACGTGAAATTTAAAAATTGCAACAAAACTTGTCATCTCAACCTCAAACCGAAGACTGGGAATAATGATGCTGATAATCAACCCAGAAAAAAGTGTTTGCATTCTGCATTATAACCTTTGTGTATATCTTTTACCAGCAAATTTGTGCAAAATTTCATAAAAGTTTTTTATGTTTTATAATTTTGTTGTTAATTTTGGATCAAAAGAACAAAATTTGCAAAGAAATATGGGGGCCGGGGGGGGATCAGCCAAAATTTGCAACTTTACTAATCACATTTGTATTTATACGATGAATTTCTTTCCCAATTAGTACAAACTATCTATGTTACAATACGCTATTCCATCTCATCATGTGAGATTTGCTCACTGA